GAACCAAATCAACAACCCACACATTACACGGAGTCAATCCCAACCACCTTCGACACTCATACCCCTCGCTTCAGCCATACAAGCCCCAAAACCTCCTGTCCAACCAACCTTAATTAAAATACTTAGTACCTTTGTTAAATAGTCATTCAATAAAAGTCCGGGTGAAAACCTTAATAAACAACGAAGATCACCAGGGCTAAAGCCTTTTAGGTTGAGTGTGGAGGGAGAGTTGAAATTGAGTCGTAGGCCGAAGAATCGGCAACCGACCTGTTATCAGTGATAACAAAAAGTGATCCTCAAAAGGATCAAGCTGGATCTAGCCCTGAACTTGAAAAAAAAAAAAAAAAACTGTAACACACGGCAGACCAATCCCCAAGCTAAGATCATAAGTGTATGGAGAATACAACTTCATAATTCATTTTTGCTCAAAATCTCCCTAAAAGCTACACCTAAGCCTATTTTTAAGTCAATGCTTAGGCTTAGGGTAAACCAACTGCAGAATCCCCCTTATTTTGGGTGGGTCGCCTAAATCGTCACCTGTCAAAATATAGTCTATCTCCTTTAAACTAAGAAAATTTTGGCAGCGCTTCCCGTAGAAAAATAGTATTTCCAGAGTTTATATAAGTCTAAATATGAACGCCTAAATAATCTTTAAGTCTTGAAAGTCAAAATTCTGTCTAACTCTCCGAATATGTAGAAATTTGGGCAGCATTCCCTTTAGAAAAGAAGACTTCCCAGATTTATACTAAGTCAGATATAAAAACAGAAATAATTTGTAACTCTGGAGAATCAAATTCTGTCTAACTCTCTGAATTAGTAGAAATTTGGGCAGCACTCCCTTTAGAAAAGGAGACTTCCCATATTTATACTAAGTCATATATGAACTCGAACAACAGCTCGAGCTCAACTTTAGACTGAATTTAACTAACTCCTTTAATTTTGTAAAAAATTTCGGCAGCACTTCCTCTGGAAAAGTGTTATTCCAAAATTTATACAAGACTAAGTTTAGATTTTCAAAGTAACTTTGACTTCTCAAAGTTCAATTTTGTCTAACTCCCTGAATTAGCAAAATTTTGGGCAGCACTCCCTTTAGAAAGGGAGACTTCCTAGATTTTAACTAAGCCAGATATATGAAAAAGACAGGTTGAACTCTGACAAGTCAAGTTGACTAACTTCTTGGATTTTTAGAAATTTCGGCAGCGCTTCCCGTAGGAAAAGTAGCTTGCCAAGATTTATACAAAGCCAAGTATAAGAAAAAGATATCAGAAAATGCAGGAAATGATTTCAGTAAAAAACAGTTATTACAGAAAAAGCAGCAATTGACACTAACTCCTATGGCTCTAGCACGTGGCGAGCAACTAAAGCAACTACCTATAGTGATGAAACTTAAACAAACTAGTCATCCCATCCAGTCACATGCAAACCAAACCACAAATGTAAGTACTCTCACCACCCCAAGTTTATTTCATATAGATAGCTCATGAATCTTCAAGTTCTTGAATCCTTATACCCATCTTACATAAGACATAAAGATGAACCATTCGCCATCGAAACAATGCCTTGCTTGTCTTCATGATATACACGAACAGGTTGCACAACTACTTCTTTCTTCTTTTGGGCAGATGACTAGGCCATTCGCCATGGAAACAATGTCTAATCGCCCTGAGCTGTTTAATATTCGAAAATTTAGTATTTCTCTGACTTTGTTTTCAAAAGAAAAAAACAAATATGGGCAGGGGACTGAACCATTCACAGTAGAAACAATGTTCAGCTTGCCCCAACTATTTTCATTTATACTTTGTATTTTTTTATTTTTTTTTCTTAATGATATGGCTTAACGCTGGACCATTCACAGTAGAAACAATGCCCAGCTGCCAGTTCACATGCAAATATACATAAAATACTTTCCTTTATACTTAGTTTAAATTATGTGCGTGGTTTTTAGGCTAAACCATTCACCATGGAAACAATGCTTAGCCTTGGACCAAAGATTCTCCCTCAAAATAAACAAGAATTTAAACCCTTTCAATCAGGCAACCCTAAGAGTTAACTAAGGTAGCCAGGCCATTCACAGTAGAAACAATGCCTGGCTCCCCAGAAAACAATCAAATAAACACAGCGACCAGGCCATTCACAATAGAAACAATGCCTGGTCCTTCAGAAAACAGTCAAATAAACATAGCCCTAAGTCATTCACAGTAGAAACAATGCTCAGGTTTTGGTTGACCCGGTCAAACGCATGCAGTCTACCTTCCTTCCACCTTCCCCCAATTCATCCTTAGTCTGCTTTCAATCAGAACAAAGTAGAAACTTAGGCTTCACTCTCACACATTCTTTCCAGTTAGTCTGATTAGGTCCTGAAGAGAAAGCAAAAGCCATAGGGACAATCGCATGCATACAATAATCATACTGCAGGGGGATAGGCAAACATGGGTAGTAGTGGGTTATACAGATAAAGATGATTTACCTGAAGGTTCCCTGCCTACAGAACTCCTCCTGAGCTCCCGCAATCGATGGGTGGACTCCCCACAAAGTCTTGACGCAGACCTACGGGTTGCAATCCCGCCTGCCGCCTTCCTCTCGTAACCACAGGACTAGACTGAGAGTCAGAAGGATAGAAGAGGAAGGTGTGAGACTCTCAGATCCAAGAAGAGGTGCACTCAGACTCGCAGGAGAGGGTCTCGATACCTTCAGCCTCCTGAGGGCCCCGCAATGATGGCCAAGTAACAACCGCTTGGTCAAACTTCAGTCATACTGTCGATGTCAACCCCCCTGGCGACCCCTCAATTCGCAGCACCACCCTTCCTTGCAGCTCAACCACTCTCCCTACACTACACCTGCGCCCCCAGCCAGCGCCCAACAACAGCAGCAGCAATCAGTCTCCGCAGCAACAACCGTAGCGTATGCCTGTGCCAAGCGTGCAGACCGCCGGTCCCGCAAACTGCCCACTTCGCAGGCTGCCAACCCTGCCGACTGCCACCAACCCACGTACGGGCCCCGCTCTTCACATGCAGGCAGCCCGGAGATACACCAATTGGCCCAAACCCACAGTCCGACGATATGGCAATCTGGGACACAGTTTACAAGAGGGAGAACAACAGCTCTTGTAAGACACAGGTAAATGTGGCGGACCCGCAGTAGTAAGACGCTGCGCCCTGAGCCATGCGAACCCCAGCCGCACCGCAATGCCCCACAGTACCAAGTAAGGGGTCAATAGCAGCCAGATACAACCCAAGAATCTCTGTATTAACAYTGTCCACGCTTACTGCCAGCA